TGAAGATGTGCTCCATGCTCTCGGCGTCGTAGAACGACACCTCCTCGCCCTCGTAGTCCAGGCAGACCCGCACCCTGCCCAGCTTCCTGCCGGGGCTCAGCGGCGTCCGCTGCGGCGACGTCACGGCCCAGTAGCGGCCCCCGTTCTGCTGCACGGCCCAGATGCCCTCCTCGGGGGAGAACTGGGTCAGGCCCTTCCTGCGGACCGACTCCAGGGCCACGCCGAAGGCCCAGCCGTCCGAGGGCCCCACCTCCACCTCCCAGTAGTGGCGGCCCGAGCGGAAGCCGCGCGAGGCGAGGACGCGCGAGTTGGTGTCGAAGCGCTTGGGGTTGTCGGGCAGGTCCTGCTTGCGGCAGCCCATGCGGACGCTCTTGAGGTCGGCCGAGAGGATCAGCAGGTGGTTGGCGGAGTCGGGGTCCAGGGTCAGCTCCTCTGGTGGGGAAGAGGGGGTTTGGAGAGACGGGGAGATGGAGATGAGGGGGTGGTTGGGCACGTCCGAGCTCAGTGTTCACAGCCAAGGAGCAATAACCTCATTGCCAAGCTCGGTGATCAACCCCAAACCTCAATGATCAACCCCAAACCTCAGTGATCAACCCCAAACCTCATTAACCACATCCCAAACCTCAATGTTCACACCTAAACCTCAACGATCAACCCCAAACCTCAATGATCAACCCCAAACCTCAATGTTCACACCCAAACCTCAATAATCAACCCCAAACCTCAATAATGAACCCCAAACCTCATTAACCACATCCCAAACCTCAATGTTCACATCCAAACCTAAATGATCAACCCCAAACCTCAATGATCAACCCCAAACCTAAATGATCACACCCAAAGATCAATAACCCTGTTCCCAAGCTCAGTGATCAACCCCAAAGCTCAATGATCAACCCCAAACCACAGTAATCAACCCCAAACCTCAGTGATCAACCCCAAACCTCAGTGATCAACCCCAAACTTTAATATTCACATCCAAACCTCAATATTCACACCCAAATCTCAATATTCACACCCAAACCTCAATGATCAACCCCAAACCTCAGTGTTCATACCCAAAGATCAATAACCCTGTTCCCAAGCTCAGTGATCAACCCCAAACCTCAATGATCAACCCCAAACTTTAATATTCACATCCAAACCTCAATATTCAGACCTAAATCTCAATATTCACACCCAAACCTCAATGATCAACCCCAAAGCTCAGTGTTCACACCCAAACCTCAATAATCAACCCCAAACCCCAATAATCAACCCCAAACCTCAATGATCAACCCCAAACTTTAATATTCACATCCAAACCTCAATATTCAGACCCAAATCTCAATATTCACACCCAAACCTCAATGATCAACCCCAAACCTCATTAACCATATCCTGACCTCAATGATCAACTCCAAACCTCAATAATCAACCCCAACCTCAATGATCAACCCCAAACCTCAATATTCACACCCAAACCTCAATAATGAACCCCAAACCTCAATATTTAACCCCAAACCTCACTAATCACCCCCAAACCTCATTAACCCC